TACACCAACACACTCACTACACCAACACACTCACTACACCAACACACACTCACTACACCAACACACACTAACTACACCAACACACACTAGCTACACCAACACACACTACACCAACACACTCACTACACCAACACACCCACACTAACTACACCAACTCACTAACTACACTAACTACACCAACACACTAACTACACCAACTCCAACTCACTAACTACACTCACACTCACTACACCAACACTGTTTGCTGTGTGTGTGTCTCTCCCCGTGGTCACTGCGTAGATTTTTTCTCGGGGTCCTCCGGTTCCCCCCCTCATTTAAAATCGACGCCACCACTACCACCACCACTACCACCACCACCACTACCACCACCACTACACCACCACCACTACCAACACTACCACCACCACTACCACCACCACTACCACCACTACTGCCACCACTACTGCCACCACTACCACCACCACTACCACCACTACCACCACCACTACCACCACCACTACCACCACGCGTTCAGAGGGCTTGGCAGCTGCTGTCAATGTCCACGTAATGATGGTGGTGGTGGTGAGACACTTGCTTTGAGCTTGTGAAACAGAGCTACACACAGCAGCTTAGTGGGGCATGACAGCTGGTAACAATAACAAAACAACATGCAGTAAACACCAGCACCTGGGGGGTTGAGAGGTGTCCAGGTGAAGTGTTGAAGCAACAGTCTACAAACCCACACTCGCACAACACTACACACTACAACTATACACACTACACACACTACTACAACTACACACACTACTACTACACACACACTACTACTACACACACTACTACTACACACACTACTACTACACACACTACTACACACACTACTACTACACACACTAATACTACTACACACACTACTACTACACACACTACTACTACACACACTAATACTACTACACACACTACTACTACACACACTACTACTACACACACTACTACACACACTACTACTACACACACTACTACACTACACACACTACTACTACACACACACTACTACACACACACACTACTACACACTACTACTACACACACACACACTACTACACACACACTACTACACACACACTACTACACACACACTACTACACACACTACTACTACACACACTACTACTACACACACACTACACACACTACTACTACTACACACACTACTACTACTACTACACACACTACTACTACTACACACTATTACTACACACACTACTACTATACACTACTACTACTATACACTACTACTACTATACACTACTACTACACACTACTACTACACACACTACTATACACTACTACTACACACACACACTACTACACACACACTACACACACTACTACTACACACCAACTACTACACACTAACTACTACACACTAACTACTACACACTAACTACTCCACACTAACTACTACACACTAACTACTACTCCACACTAACTACTACACACTAACTACTACACACCAACTACTACACACTAACTACTACTACCACACTACTACTAATACACACATACTACTACTACTACACACTACTACACACTACACACTACTACTACTACACACACTACTACTACTACACACTACTACACACACTACTACTACTATACACTACTACTACACACACACTACTACTACACACATTACACACACTACTACACACCTACTACACACACACACTGCTACACACACTACTACTACCACTACTACTACACACACAACACTACACACACTACTACTACACTCACTACTACTACTACACACACTACTACTACACTCACTACTACTACTACACACACTACTACACTCACTACTACTACACTCACTACTACTACTACACACACTACTACTACTACACACACTACTACTACTACACACACTACTACTACTACACTCACTACTACTACTACACTACACTACTACTACACACACTACTACTACAACACTACTACACCACACTACTACTACACACACACTACTACTACACACACTACTACACACACTACTACTACACACTACTACACACACTACTACACACACACTACTACTACACACACACTACTACTACACACACTACTACACTACTACTACACACACACTACTACACACACACTACTACACTCACTACTACACTCACTACTACTACTACACTCACTACTACTACTACACTCACTACTACTACTACACACACACACTACTACTACACACACTACTACTACACACACTACTACTACACACACTACTACTACTACACACACTACACTACTACTACACACACACTACTACTACACACACACTACTACTACACACACACTACTACTACTACACACACACACTACTACTACACACACACACTACTACTACACACACTGCTACTACACACACACACTACTACTACACACACACACTACTACTACACACACACTACTACACACGCTACTACAACACTACACACACACTACTAAAAACACACTACACTACTACACACTACACACACACACTCCTACACACACTACAACTACTCACACTACACTACTACACACACCACCACTACTACAACACTACACACTACACTACTAAAAAAACACACACTCACTACACAACTACACACACTACAACTACTCACACTACAACTACACACACACTACAACTACTCACACTACACTACAACTACACACACTACACCACTACTACAATACACTACACACTACAACTACAATAGTCTTCTATCATCGCTAGTCATCTCTGTGGGTCCCTAGTCATCTCTGTGGGTCTCTATGGGTGTCTGGGTCTCTATGGGTCTCTGTGTGTCTCTATGGGTCTATATGTGTCTCTGTGTGTCTCTGTGTGTCTCTGTGTGTCTCTATGGGTCTCTGTGTGTCTCTGTGTGTCTGTATGTGTCTCTATGAGTCTCTATGGGTCTCTATGTGTCTCTATGTGTCTATGTGTGTTTCTGTCTCTATGGGTCTCTGTGTGTCTCTGTCTGTATGTGTCTGTATGGGTCTTTGGGTCTCTGTGTGTCTGTATGTGTCTCTGTGTGTCTCTATGTATCTATGTGGGTCTCTGTGGGTCTCTCTGGGAATCTGTGGGTCTCTGTGTCTCTGTGTGTCTCTATGGGTCTCTGTGAGTTTAGAGTATTTGTCCGCTGTACATTGCAACGTGACGACGATGATGGTGAGCCACTTGTTCAAGCTGCGACCATTTGTGACGGCCTGGGTCACGTGGGGCCCGATGCCTCGTAAAATAAACACACAAATATAGTTCGTAGCATATCTGACGACCCAGGCGGGCTGAGCCCGTATTCTTGTACGAAATACTTGAGTTTGCGTGTCCATGCGGTGTACAGCCGTTTCAATGTTGGCCACAAAAACACAGTCTTGTTTGTTCGTGTTTCTCCCTTGTGGTGGGACTTTGTAGGATGAACTTTGAGATGTAGAAGGGGCACGGGGCGACCTAATAAGGTCTGAGTTGGTCTCTGTGTCTCTATGTCTCTGTGTGTCTCTATGTCTCCTGTCGGTCTCTGTGTGTGTCTCTATGGGTTTCTGTGTGTGTCTCTATGAGTCTCTGTGTGTGTCTCTATGGGTCTCTGTGTGTGTCTCTATGGGTCTCTGTGTGTCTCTGTGGGTCTCTGCCGGTCTCTGTGGGTCTTTGTGTGTCTCTGTGTGTCTGTCGGTCTCTGTGGATCTTTGTGGGTTTCTGTGTGTCTCTGTGGGTCTCTGTGTGTCTATGGGTCTCTGTGAGTCTCTATGGGTCTCTGTGTGTCTCTATGTCTCTGTCGGTCTCTGTGTGTGTCTCTATGGGTCTCTGTGTGTGTCTCTATGAGTCTCTGTGTGTGTCTCTATGGGTCTCTGTGTGTGTCTCTATGGGTCTCTGTGTGTCTCTGTGGGTCTCTGCCGGTCTCTGTGGGTCCTTTGTGTGTCTCTGTGTGTCTGTCGGTCTCTGTGGGTCTTTGTGGGTTTCTGTGTGTCTCTGTGGGTCTCTGTGTGTCTATGGGTCTCTGTGAGTCTCTATGGGTCTCTGTGTGTCTCTGTGTCTATATGTGTCTCTGTATGTCTCTCAGTGTGTCTCTATGGGTCTCTATGAGTCTCTGTGTCTCTATGGGTCTCTGTGGGTCTCTGTATCTCTATGGGTCTCTGTGTGTCTCCATGTCTCTATCTCTATGGGTCTCTGTGTCTCTGTGGGTCTCTATGTCTCTCTGTGTGTCTCTCAGTGTGTCTCTGTCTTTATAAGGTCTGAGTTTGTCTGTAGTGAGGTCGGGCACTGTGATACGGGGTCGACAGCTGTGGCTACAGCGATGTTTCACTCGCTAGCAGCAGTGATGTTGATGAGCTTGCGGCACTTGCCCCAAACCGTCTGTTAAAGGCTACACGGGGGATCTTTGTCTTTGTACAGCACTGGAGGTCACAGCTGATGCAACCCAGGCCATTCTTGGCTGCAGGCGTGCCTGGGGGAGTGTGTGATGGGTGTGGTGAGGGTGTGATGTGTGTGTGGTAAGTGTGTGTGTGGTGTGTGTGGTGAGGGTGTGGTGAGGGTGTGATGTGTGTGTGTGGTAAGGGTGTGTGTGGTGAAGGTGGGTGTGGTGTGTGTGGGGCGTGTGGTGAGTGTGTGTGTCATGTGTGTGGTGTGTGTGGTGAAGGTGTGTGTGGTGTGTGGTAAGGGTGTGATGAGGGTGTGATGTGTGTGGTGAGGGTGTGGTGTGTGTGGTGAGGGTGTGGTGTGTGTGGTGAGGTTGTGATGTGTGTGGTGAGTGTGTTTTGAGGGTGTGGTGTGTGTGGTGAGGGTGTGGTGTGTGTGGTGAGGGTGTGGTGTGTGTGGTGAGGGTGTGGTGAGTGTGGTGAGGGTGTGATGTGTGTGTGATGTGTGTGGTGAGGGTGTGGTGTGTGTGGTGAGGGTGTGGTGTGTGTGGTGAGGGTGGTGAGGGTGTGATGTGTGTGGTGTTAGGAGTGTGTGGTGAGGGTGTGCTGTGTGTGGTGAGGGTGTGGTGAGTGAGTGTACGCATGTGCTGTGTGTGATGTTAGGAGTGGACGTTGTAGGTGCACCTCGCATTGAACAAGGGCCGTGGTGGCGTCACCGCTACATTGTAGTGAACGACGCCAGTTGGTGTGTGGTGAGTGTGGTGTGATGGGTTGTGTTTGTGGCAAATGGAGTGTTGTAGTTGGATTTGTCAATCAGATCGTCACCCTACACAACATGGCCACCACCCTACACAACGTGACTTGTCACCCTACACAACATGGCCACCAACCTACACGTGTCTTGTCACCCTACACAACATGGCCACCAACCCTACACAACATGGTAAGCCTGTTGTGATATGTCGTGAGTGTTTAGGTGGTGTATTGGTTGGGTTGTGTGGTGGGTGGTGTGTAGTGAGTGTTTAGGTGGTGTATTGGTTGTGTTGTGTAGTGGGTGGGTGGTGTTGTGTAGTGAGTGTTTAGGTGGTGCAGTGGGTGGGTTGTGTGGTGTAGTGAGTGTTTAGGTTGGGTAGTGAGTGTGTAGTGGGTGGGTATTGTTGTGTAGTGAGTGTTTATGTTGTACTGTGAGCATGTTGGTTGATGCAGGGATATCATTCTCAGGGCTGCTCTTATTTTCTTACACTTTTGTACTTGCTACGGCAAACACAAATATATATATGGTACGTGTCTCTTGTGTCCTTTTCCCTGCGTCTGTGTGTGTGTCTCTCTGTGTATTGCCTTGTGTCTGAACTAGCACATAGCCTGGCACAAGCCCCATGGTGTCGCCACCGTCACTTCGTGACGAATAGCGGTTGTTGTTGTTGTCTTGTGTCTCTCACTCCATCTCTCTCTCTCCGTCTCTCGCCCGTGGTTCAGGCCGTCACCACGGCCATGAGGAAGGGAGAAGACGTGGAGACGTCTAAGAAGTGTGAGTGCATCCAACGTGGGCACAGACGAGACACGGCGAAAAGAGACGCGGGACAACCACACACGGACATGAACAGCGACGCATGGACACACGGACAGGCACACACACACCCACACGCACGCACACACACACACACGACACGTACAGACACCCCGTGTGCGGAGTTGTTGCCACGGCTGCTTGACCTATCAACTCGTGCACAGAGTGACGAACTGTCTGGGGTGCCACAGTGGCAAGATGTCAACTCCCTCGCCTGGTGTGCAGGAGGTCGTGGGTTCCACCCAAACCCTGACCATGCCTGCTGCTGTGTATTTGGAGTTTGTGTGTCTCTTTCTCATCATCATCATCACGGTGGCTATGAGATGTTAACTACCTCGCCTGGTAGGCAGGAGGTCGTGGGTTCGATCCCGATCCTGACCCCTGCTGTGTATATTGGGAGTTTGTGTGTCTCTCTCATCATCATCACGGTGGCTAGGAGATGTTAACTACCTCGCCCGGTATACAGGAGGTCGTGGGTTCCACCCCGACCCTGACGATGCCTGCTGCTGTATATTTGGAGTTTGCGTGTCCTCGCTCATCATCATCATCATCACGGTGGGTAGGAGATGTTAACTACCTCGCCTGGTGTACAGGAGGTCGTGGGTTCGATCCCGACCCTGACGCCTGCTGCTGTGTATTGGGAGTTTACGTGTCTCTCTCATCATCATCACGGTGGGTAGGAGATGTTGACTACCTCGCCTGGTATACAGGAGATCGTGGGTTCCACCATAACCCCTGACGATGCCTGCTGCTGTGTATGTGGAGTTTGCGTGTCTCTCTCATCATCATCACGGTGGGTAGGGAGATGTTGACTACCTCGCCTGGTTTACAGGAAGGAGGTTGTGGGTTCGATCCCGACCCCAACGCCTGCTGCTGTATATTAGAGTTTGCGTGTCTCTCTCTCCCCGTGGTCGTGGGAATATCCTCCGGGTCCTCCGGTTCTTCCCCTCCACATTCCGAATCGACGTCGCCACGCGTTAAGGGCATTTGGCTGCTGCAAATCTCCACGCGAGGGCGATGATGAGCCACTTCGTTGAGCCTGCTATCATTTGCGATGGCGACGTCGCTTCTGAAAAAAGAGATGACGACGCATCTCAGTGGCCCTTACCTGCTAATATAAACGTTTAGTTTATACCTACTGACTTGCCGACCGACTCGCCGTTGACGACGCAGGGTCGGCGGGTCAGAACCGGCAGCACGTCACTCACCGCAACACGGCGAAGTTGGACCGCGAGACGGAGGAGCTGCACCACGACCGCGTGCCCCACGAGGTGGGCAAGATCATCCAGAAGGGCCGCCAGGACAAGGGGCTCACGCAGAAGGACCCTCGGCCACGGTGAGGAGCTACCGGAGTGTGCCGCTGTGCCCGCCGTGCGCTCTCCACTCGCCGTGCAGCTCTTGCTCGCTCTCTCCGTGCGTCTCTCCCCGTGTCTCTCCACGTGTGTGTCTCACCATGTTTCTCTGTCTCTCCCCGTGTTCCCTGTTTGTCTCTCCCCGTCTCTCCCCCCGTGCGTCTCTCTCCCCGTGCGTCTCTCTCCCCGTGTCTCACCATGTCTCCCCGTCTCTCTCACCATGTCTCCCCATCTCTCTCACCGTGTGTCTCCCCGCGTCTCTCACCGCGCGTCTCTCTCACCGTGCATCTCTCCCCGCGCGTCTCTCTCCCCGCGCGTGTCTCTCCCCACGCGTCTCTCTCCCCGTGCGTCTCTCCCCCCGCGCGTCTCTCTCCCCCCGCGCGTCTCTGTGTGTCTCGCTGTCTCTCTCCCAATGTTTCACTGCGTCTGACTATCCGCGCCTCCCTTTTGCCGCAGAGAATCAACGAGAAGCCCAACGTGATCACGGATTACGAGTCTGGCAAGGCGATCCCCAACAACCAGATCCTGGGCAAGATCGAGAGAATCATCGGTGAGTTAGGGAGTGTGGGCGTGTGCGCGTGGTGTATTTGGGTGCGCGTGGGGAGCGGTGGTGTAGCGGTTAGCGCTACGCTGCGCTACGAACAACGGCGACCCGAGTTCAATTCCCGCTCACGGCCAACGCCAGTGACGATTGCCTGAACCGGTCCTGTGGCCTCCCCTAGGTCGACTCGGCCTCAGACAAGCACCTGCGTGGTGCGCGGTAAACGCTGGCCGCTGGGGAGACGAAGGCGGCCGGGCGCGGTGCCGGCCTTGCTGCTACTCGCTAAGGGCATCGGCCTCGACAAGGCCTCAGTGGTGGTGCCTGCGTCTCCGTGTCTAGGGTTGAAGCTGAGGGGCAAGGAGCTGGGAGAGCCGATGGGTGCAGTCATCCCCAGCAAGAAGAAATGAAGCCCTGCTGCCCTTCCAGCCCTGCCCCTGCCTGCCTGCCGCCCGCCTGCCCTTCTCCCTGTCGGTCCCCTGCGTGACGTGAAGCTGCTTCGGCTGGGCTGACGACGACGACGACGACGCCCGCCAGTGCTGCGCTGGTTAATGCGCGCACACGCGTACACACACACTCGCACACACATGCACGCACATTCGCACACACACTCGCACACACACATGCACGCACTCGTGTACGCGCACATTCGCACACACACTCGCACACACTCTCGCACACACTCGCACACACTCGCACACACATGCACGCACATTCGCACGCACACTCGCACGCACACTCGCACACACACTCGCACGCACATGCACGCACACTCACACTCGCGCACACACACTCATGCACTCACACGCGCGCACATTCGCACACACACTCGCACACACATGCACGCACACTCACACTCGCGCACACACACGCACACACTCATGCACTCGCACACACACATGCGCACACGCGCACGGATGTACAGGCACCGGTACACGCGCATACACAGAGATCCCCCGTGTAGCCTTGAACAGACTGTGCTGTTGGCCAAGTGCTGTTAGCGAGCACCTACCATGCATGTGCGTGCGTACGCAGCTACTCACCACCTTACACCACATCGCACACACTACCCACACACAGCACACCTCCAAACACACAGCACACCTACCCACGCCACACACAGCGCCACACACGCACACCGCATACCTACCCACACACTGCACACCTACCCACACACACAGCACACAGCGCCACACACACAGCACACAGCACCACACACGCACACCTACCCACACACACAGCGCCACACACACAGCACACAGCGCCACACACACACCTACCCACACACACCTACCAACGCACACAGCGCCACGCACACAGCGCCACGCACACACCGCACACCTACACACACAGCGCCACACATGCACACAGCGCCACACACGCACACAGCACCGCACACAGCACCACACACAACACCACACACCCACACAGCGCCACACACCCACACACATTCGGACCACCTCACCGCAGCAACAACTCCAACCTCGATCACCGGTCCGCGGTGGTCGCTCTGTCAATTGTGAACCCCCACGGCTACTCACCACAGCCCACGGCTACTCACCACGGCTACTCACCACGGCCACCGATACTCACCACGGACACTCACCACAGACACTCACCACGGACACGGCTACTCACCACGGACACTCACCACGGACACGGCCACTCACCACGGACACGGCCACTCACCACGGCCACTCACCACGGCCACTCACCACGGCCACTCACCACGGCCACTCACCACGGCCACTCACCACGGCCACTCACCACGGCCACTCACCACGGCCACTCACCACAGACACGGCCACTCACCACAGACACGGCCACTCACCACAGACACGGCCACTCACCACAGACACGGCCACTCACCACGGCCACTCACCACGGCCACTCACCACGGCCACTCACCATGGACACGGCTACTCACCACAGACACGGCTACTCACCACGGCCACTCACCACGGCCACTCACCACGGCCACTCACCACGGCCACTCACCACAGACACGGCTACTCACCACGGCCACTCACCACGGCCACTCACCACGGCCACTCACCACGGCCACTCACCACGGCCACTCACCACGGCCACTCACCACGGCCACTCACCACGGCCACTCACCACGGCCACTCACCACGGCCACTCACCACAGACACGGCCACTCACCACAGACACGGCCACTCACCACAGACACGGCCACTCACCACAGACACGGCTACTCACCACGGCCACTCACCACGGCCACTCACCACGGCCACTCACCACGGCCACTCACCACGGACACTCACCACGGACACTCACCACGGACACTCACCACGGACACTCACCACGGACACTCACCACAGACACGGCCACTCACCACAGCCACTCACCACGGACACGCTTGAACGCGGCCCCACACACTTCAGTCACACACCTCGCCCCCACCCCCCCCCCCCTTGCTGCACAACCACTCGCTCGGATGTGGACAAAGGGGCCGGAGGGGCGGATTGCTACGGCTGTGACTCCCCCCCCCTTACCCCCCTTTCCCCCGCTCCGTCGTCGCTAGGGTTGGGTGGCACGGGCTAGGTCCAGCTGGGCGTCCGTGAGACTTCGGGGAGGGGTGGGGGGTCATTGTTCAAGGGTTCAGGGTAGACGTGGCAGGAGGCTGGTGCTTTGGTCTTATGATTAGCTGTGTGGTTGGGGTGTCAAGTGTTAGGACTCGTGTGTAGGGATGATGTCAGTCTCACGGCCGGCTGTAAGGTTGGGGCTAGTGGGGTTAGTGTTAGGGTTCAGTGTTGGTTGCAAAGCTACGTTGAGTACTTGGGGCTACGATTACTTGCGTCCTCTCTCGGCCATCCGGGGTTTTTGCCGACTTAACAGCAATTTGGTTCTTCTTGTCATCCGCTAATTGGCGACGTTGTCGTGAGTAACTGCAGCAGCAGCAGCTGCTGCTGTTCCTCGCCTGTCACCGGCCTTTCCCCGGCTCCCGTCGCCCACACTACCGGCGCTCCGACTCCCAATTCCTCTCGGAAGCAAAACTACTCAGTCTCCCCACTCACCACCACCACCACCCAGCCCACCCACTACTTCCCCACCCTGCCAGTTCTAAACAGCTAAATAAGGAAATGTTTTTATATTCTAATTGACACACCTGGTTTTCTTTTCTCTTTCTTTCGTATGGGCAACCTCGCCCCCCTCGCCCCCCACCGATTAGTGCCCCGGCTGATCGGGGGGTCGGCGGACCGGAGGAGGGGCAGTCGGGTGGAGTGTACGGGGGCGGCAGATCCGATGCGTGGTTGGGGGGGGGGGGTGGCGTAGTCGCTCGGTCAACCTCGGCAGCGCCATGGTCGCTCGGGCCGGTTACCGAGCCGCAGTGCGAAGTGGCGAATATACGACGGCGGCGGCGGCGGCTCCGTTAGTAAATAACCGTGGGGGCGCGTCCGCACGCGGCGGCTCCAGAGTGGGCAGATCGCCGCCCCCGGGGTCGCTCGTCGTTGGCGTGGTGCAGCAGCAGCAGCAGCGCGGGCGGGCCGCGCCGTCGCCATGCCGGCGGCACCGGGTTTACCGTCGCCACCCCCCCCCCCCCACACCGTGTGCGGTGGTCACCACCGTACATTTACCATCACCACCCCCCACCCCCCCACTGTACCCTCGTTTTTTAACCGACCCAAAAGTTGCTTCTTGTAATCCACAAAATACTTTTTTTTAATTTAGAATTGCTGCAGCAACCATTGCCCGTGACGGTTGCCATACAGAAATTTCCCCGCTGTGTCACGGCCTTCGAAGCTCGGGGAAGGGAGCGGAGGGGGTGGGGGGGGGGGGGCGGGGGTCCGCATCCGAACGGTGGGTTGCAACGCAATCGGGGTTGCAACGCAATCGGAGTTGCAATGCAATCGGGGTTGCATGCAGCCACAGTCGGGTTGCAACGCGGCCACACCGCTCGCACGTAACCGGCGATTCCCGGTCAATATCTCCGAGCGGTTTGGGTTGAGCGCTGAAGCCGTTGTTGCCGCCGCTGCTGCTGCTGCTGCTGCCTCGGTGCTGGAGGAGCGGTAACCGCGGACTTGCCGGGGGGAGGGAGCATTAATCTGGTGCTGGTTGCGGTGGCTGCTGCTGTTGTTGGTTGTTGCAAGTTGTTGTCTCGCGACGGACAACAGTGTTGGGCTAAAAGCACGCTTGTGATTTTTGTTTTGTTTTTTTGCCGAGCTCTCTCCTCCCCCCCCCGCCCCCTCCCCGTTCCACCATCACCACAATTCACATTTTCGTTAATAAATAAAAATGTCATTGAAAAAGATAAAAAGCCCTCGAGCCTTCGGTCGATGCACTCTCGCGCAGACGCAGGGATAAAGAATTCCCTCCAACAGACTTGGTGCAGAGTCCTTTTCGCGAGGAGCAGCAGCACCTCGTGTGTGTGTGTACACACTGGCATACACACACACAAGCATACAACTGCCATTCGCCACTAAGTGGCGGTGACGTTATCACAACACTTGTGCCAGGCTATGTGCACGCTAAGGCCACGTGAAGTGTCGAACGCCCGCCGGCAAGAGGTCACGGGGCAGACTCAGCAGGTGCCATGGGCCGACAGATGACTGGCTGATGCACCACCTGTCCCCTACTGTATGTTGTATATGAGCCTTTTCCAAAATTGATATTAACAATAATATTTGCGTTATATAATATATTTTTTTAACAAACAAAAAATCAATAAAACCCGTAAGCCAGGCACACGAAAAACCAGATGTCGATCATAAACAGACCATTAAAAAATTAAGAAATAATACAACTCTCGAGGCGAGGATGTTAGCAGCTATCTGCGAAGATCTCCAGATGAACAAAAGTTTGATGTGCCCTAAGGGAGGTCACGCAGAGGGAAGCCCTCCGCAAGCCAGAAACGAGGACGCCCACGGGTTAAACCATATATATATTTTTTCCTTTGTCATTAAAACAACAGTTCAAATTTAAAATGCAATAACAAGAATAAGCTTAAGTTAGCGGTCCTCGCGCTCACTCCAATCAAGACCAGGCCACCAGATACATCAGTGAATTATTATCCAATAATTTGCTATCAAATGATTTTCACCTTTAATACTTTTACTGTTAAAACAAAGCTTGGAGACAAAATACCAAGTCACATCAAAGGTTATCGAGAAGGAATGAGGCGAACGGGCAAACTTACGAAAGAGTTTAAACAATATCCCAAGCAACCCCGACCACCTTTGTCTCTCTCACAGCGCGGAGAAGCAGGAATTACACCTTATCACAAGGGGCCATCTGGAAAAGCCAGCCGGGTTTGATGAGGAGACACACCCCACCCCACACACGGCAACCAGGCAAACAAAGTTTTAAAGGAAATTGCAATATAACATTAATAATGTTAAACGATATTCCATTATAGAACCTTACAGAACCAAGGGATATGGATTCCAACAATCTGGAAACGGACCTCTTAAACTCAGGATGAAAATTATTTTTCTTTCTAATAACTCCATCATATCAATGCGAACCTCGGTAACCCGAGAGGGGTGTCGGGAGGACGTAGTTACAAACACGAGTCTTGGCGAACATGGGACCAAATTGTATTTGAGAAATATAAAGTCGAAATTATAAAGAGATAGGTACTCCCGACCACCTTTGTCTCTCCCGAAGAGCGCGAGAGAGGAATTTCACGCCAGGGCAAACAGA